AAAAGGGGGGAAAAATTTTAACATTGGGGAAATGGGGCCAAATGGTTGGGGGATTCAAAAAAAAAGGAAAAGCCCCCCCCCAATTGATTAAGGGGGGGCCCCCCCCCCGGGTTCAAAAAAGGGAAAGGGTTTTTGTCCCCCCGGGGGTGGCCCGTTTTCTTTCCTCCATCAAAAAGGGGGGGGGGGGCTCCCTGGGGGGGCGGGGCAAAAAATTTTCTTAAATGGGGGTTTTTGGGGGGGGGGGGGCCCCCTTTTTCCCCCCCCCCCCCCCCCCCCGGGGGCCCATTCCCCTGCCCTTTCCCCCACGGGGGCCGACCGAGCCCTTTCCGTTTTTGCCCAGGGGGAAAATGGACAATTAATCAGAACGCTGGGAACAAAAGTCCATGCCCCCCCCCCCCCCCTTCTATCTCTCTCCGCAGGCGAGGAAAGCACAACTCAAAGTATGGGCTTGCCCATCCCGGAGTGGTTCGAACCCACACAAACCCGGAAGGTGACGGATGCGTCGTACGATGGTCTCAGGCCCAGTGAGTGAGGTAGTGCATCTGACCACTCCTGGTCATGCTGACCAAGCTCCTCTTGTAGCTCGATCGGTCACACCGCCATCGCCGTCGAGGAGAGGGGGGACGACACTGCTTCGGCAGCGTGCACCTCGATCCTGTACCGTGTTTGTTATGACCCCCCCCCCCAATGAACGCTCCAGTGAGGGAGGGCGAGACGATCGAGGGGTCCCGTACCATGCGGAATCGGCCCTATCCAGTGCTCAAGTGCTCAAGACGCAGACGACTTGGCCTTTGCGCCATATTCTCGAATATCTTTGAGAATATAGAGGCGTCGCCTTCGGTCGTAGCGCTTCTCGTTCTCTGCTGCAAGCTGCTCATCGGTGGCGGCGAGGCGCTCCCACGCCTTCTTTGCGGTGTGGAAGCTGCCACCGTCGAGGTTCCAGCGCCGGCCCTCCACCTGCCAGAACCACATCGTCGGCTCGCCGTCGTCTCCGTTGCGCTCTGCGAGCTTCGCCTTGCCCCGCAGGCCGTTCATTGGCCTGCAGCTGCACAAGCTTTTCCGGCAAACAAAAAGGAAAACAGAGGGTCCCCAGCACTTTGCGTTTCCGGAAATTTCCAGGGAAAACAGAGGGTGTTTGGTGCTCCATTCTGGAAACTCGCGAGTTTCCCTGAGTCTGAGAGCTGGTCTGGGGCAAAATCTGACGCAAAATTGAGGAAATCGGCACGATACCCAGGCGGTCGCAGGATATTTTCCAGGTATACCCGGGGTTTTCCAGGTATACCCGCAAAATACCCGGTATTTTGCCGATTTGGCTGATTTTGGCCCAAACCAGCCTCAGACTCGGCTCAGAGCCCGGAAAATTTGATGGTTTTCCCGGGAAAATAGAGAGGAAAAGAGAGGGTGCTGCAGAGAAAAAAGGAAAGGAAAAGAGACGGGGTGCGAGAGGAAAACCTTGTTCAGCCTAAGCCCCGTTCAGGCAGGGGTACTTGTAGTATAGTAGGGTGAGAATTATGAAAAACGCCGGAATTCGGACGAGTACTCTCGCCTGCACAAATTCGATAAGTGGGACAAGGAGGGATGCGTCCAGGATGCACGCTATACCAACTAAACTCTAAAGTGATGGCTGGCTTGAACTCGGCGGCGTTCTCACGCGTGCGTCCCACGGCTTTCGCGTGCACGCAGATGCCGCAGCACGGGACCCGCTTGCCGTCCTCGTCAAAGGCAGCGCAGCCGCAGGCCAGCCGACGCCCGCCACGCCCTTCTGAGTACCTGATCAAGAAGTTTCTTCCCTTGTGAGAGAGGCTTGCAGGTAGGTAGTAAGGTGAAGAACAGCCAGGCTCGGACTGGACACCAACGCGGTATGGGTGGACGCTAGACAGATGATGACGACACGCACGAGCGACACACAGACACAAACAAGCTCACAAGACACACAGCCAGCTGGCTGCCACACACCCTGAGTCGGCGTACACATAACTCAGGGCCACATCCTCCCTGTCGCCCCCCCCAGCACTCCACGGTGCCAAGGGCACAAACAAGGGCACAACAAACAACAGACGATAGGAAGTGATATGTGAGGCTAGAGCAGACCGCTCCACCTCTAGCAATCTCGCCGGCCGGCGAGGCACGGACGAGACCGTGTGTGGGGTCTAAGTGAGGTGTCTATGGACGCGCTCCTCACAGGCTAGCTGCCTACAGCTAGCCCTTCTCGCACTCACAGGCGATGACAGTCCAATGTATGAGCGTATGCAAGTTGAGGCGCGTGGGCTAAATCTAGGCCGCACGTCGTGGCACTATGACGAAGTAGACGTGCGGCCGCAGCGCGCCCGCCGCAGGCTCGGCGGTGCGCGCGTGTTAGCGACAAAGTTGCGGGTGGAGCCATGCCCGACTTTTCGAAGGTGAGGCCTCTGCGACGAGTGCCAGCCGCGCTGCGGAGCCACGCCCTTCGAGCCGCGTCCCGTCAGCACTGTCCCCGAGTGGTCCCGCCTCAGCGGCACACACTCTCGACCAGGACAGTCCCGCCAACGGAAACGTGTCGCGCGCCGGCGACGATTGCGGCGTGGTCGTTTTGAAGCAAAGATGGCACGACCACCGCCCTGCTTCGCACACCGGGCAAGGAGGGGGCTGCTCCCGTTCCGCGAGGAACAGGAGGTTTCCCCCCCTCCCCCGGCCTGAGCAGCGGCGGATGGAAGGCAGCCCCTTGAGTCGAGGGCGGCGCGACCATTGCCGAGCTCCAGGGACCAAAGGCCCGGGCGTCTGCTGATGGTCGCGCCGCCCCGCTCCGCCCCGCCCGCCGCCGCGCCGCGCCGCCGCCTCGCGCAGCCGCCGCGCCGCGCCCCGCCCG